GCACGGTAAATGCACAACTCAACACCCATGGCTTGGGATCTGCAGCCAGCATACAAAGGATAGAGAAAAGCTGCCTATCACACGTTACCTGGATAAGCACAGGTCACTGTTAGTGCCTTGAAAGGCTGGGCTGCAGATCCCGCGATGCTGATCGTGTTCCTTGGTTATATAGCTGGGCACCGGAAGAGTTCAAAGCACGTGAGCTCTAGCTGCGGCCGGATGAAACGCCCTCAGCGAGCACCTTGCGCTTGCGTCGAATCGGTGCCTGTTGCCTCGTCAGCAGATTCAGCAGGGTATCGGTGACTTGAAGATATGGTTTTCAAACCCGACGAGAAAAGAAGCGGTAGCCTAAAAAACCCGAGAAGCCTGAGCGGAGATTCCATCGCTCGGCACAAGTGTGTTTCGGCGTCTCGTCGCAGCGGGGCGCCCGTTACATGGCTCTTGGTAGGGTGCCTAGATGTCTGTCTGTCTCAGCGTGAGGACATCCATTGTTGCTCTGAAAGAGCCAGCGCGTGACGTTCTCGCGCACTCGGTGCGTGACTCGGGCGGTAAAATGGCGTCTTTGCATTAGCCAAAGCTACGCGCTCGAGCTGAGCGACACCGGATTGCGCGCACTTCAAAATGCATAAAAAAAACGATTGAGCGGAAAAATGGCTGAGATGTCACCACTCAAGCAAAAGCGCGCGTGTGTATGAAGGCACTCTAGGCTCTTGGTACCGCCAACCATTGTTGTGGAAGCGCTCGAGACACGTGCCATGAGCGGGTGCTCCGCCGCCATTCGCTTCCAAGGCCCGCTCATTTCAGTGCTGCGCCGCCATTTGCTTCCAAGGACCGCTCGAGACATGGGCCTCGCGCACTCGCGCATTTGACGCTACTTGCAAGACGAGCGCAAACACATCGAGGGGCTTTAGGCTCTTGTCTGCCGCTCTACCTTTTCACTTTCGGCGGCCACGTCTCGTGGCGATCTGCCAGGCTTTGTCAGTATAGAGGAGGCTATGGACGCGCATTTCTAGCGCGAGGGCTCTTTCTGGCGAACAACGCTTCCGTGCAGCAACCTAGAGCTCTCGCGCTTTTGTCATTGTCGGAAGGCTCAGCTAAAGGGTTTTGTAGCGGACAAGCCAACTGGCATGGTAGAGGAAGAAGAGGCACGGGTGCAAAGGGCTCGAGACAGAACGCACCGACGAAACAGGTCTGCGATGTATACTGATGTAAATATCTCATATTGTAAATAGTGTCCGCTGTAAATAAATAGACCGATCTCACCAAGCGTTCTACGCATGCGTGACGCCGCCATAACTGCAGTTCGTAAGAGGCAGACGCCACGTCACGAGATAGCTCATGCCGCCTCGTGCTCTGCTCGCGCACACCTCCAGCAGGGATACCGCGCGTGCAGAAAGACTATCCCACGATGCATGTCGGCAGCGGTGGCAGCGGTGGCGTACTCAAACTAGCTGGTGAGATCGGTCTATTGAAGAGACCTCTGGTTACTTCAGGTGAATGGAGTATTGGCGACGTGCGCGATCAAATGTGTTGCTCTGGCCGACCCGCCGCAAATGGCATAATTCTGACTATGAGGTCAGCAAACAATTCCTCGTTGGCGGAAATAAGAGTAATGTAAGAACTTCAATTTTGACGCTGTAGCCAGTGCTGCATTCAGAGCGGAATCAATTCAACCTTCCACTATGCTAATTATATACACCATCGAACTTATTGTTCGCAAGGTAATGACGTCTCACGAGGGAACCATTGGAAGGCGTCACCAAAATATCGCACCGCTAATAGCGCACACCAGCTCGGTGCACGTGGAGCGAAAGCCCGCGCTACAGAACACAAGGATGCTGGGTTCAATCCCCAACCCTGCTCATTTTGATCTGGATGATCATCGTTCCGGCCTGCGATCGTTTATCACTACTGCGTAGTGCACGTTAAAAACCTCAGGCTAGCGGTTGTACGGCACTGTCTAGACTACTCATCTACACCTGAGACACCGGACGTTCATCGGGGCTGGCTAACTTCCCGCAGTATAAACCAGACGTGTACAGAACAAATACTCTACTCAAGTTACTGTATCTTAAATATTTTGGGGAGTAACTTGGTAACTTGCAAATACATTCTATATTCAGTACTCAGCAGACAAACTCAGAAGTGCTGAAAACTCCTACATTATGGAGCATGGTTTCCGCGCTTTTCGAGATGACTAATTCCCGCATCCTGGGTTGTGAAGGCCGCCTACCAGGACATGCATTTATAAAGGTTGCAGCAGCGTGGCCAAACTCACTTCACTGTTTTGTCGTATATGACGCCTTTTTCAGGTAAGACATAAAACAAACAGAAAAGAAAGACATTGCCTCTTTCACTTTTTCCAAAGGCGTTCTAACTGCATAGCATTTTAATCGGGTCTCTTCACACCCCTCTTATAGTGGGCAAATTAATGATTTCAATGTCGGGCACATTGCGAGGGCTCAGTGAATAAATGGCGTCACAACGTCTCGTGACACTACGGCGCCGTGCGACAGTATGGTGCGACGTGACATCCTGTTATTACGTGACGTGACGAAATCACATAATTCTGTCACCTCACGTCTCGTGACGGGACGTCAAGTTGTCAGGTCACCTGACAACGTATACACCTGACGTCACGTTACCACGTCACAATATCGTGTATTGCTGTCAATTGAAGTCGCGTGACGTCACGGTATCCCGTCATGTCACCTGACGTGACCACTTGACATCAAGCTACGATGCCACATCGCGGTGTCAAATAACATGACGTACGTGGTCAAGTGAGTTTGCGTTACGTGGAACTATGAGCTCTCCTGTAACGAGGACGTGTCACGTGTTGTGCGTCATGAAAGATCATGGTGTATCATGATGTCAGTGTGCCGTGGCGTCATGTTGAAACGCGACAAGGACGCCTAACTTGAGGCCTGACGTCAGAATCAACGAATGAGACGAGCAAATACAAAGTGATGTCAGAGTTGACGAATAGCGTAGATGAAAATGATGTCAGCACAGAGCTTTGTTCTCAGTGGGTTTTTTTTTTCCTTAATGAAAGAGCTGCGCGAATGCCTTGCTACTTAAGGATTAAGTTGCTCCAGCAACAGCATTTCTGTCGGGAGCTCGTGCCGAGAGAGTTCCCTCCTTGACTCGTAAAACCTGCTAGATTTTCCCGTTCCTTGTGCATAAAGTTATTTACAGAGCATCATCAACGAAGCCATCGGGAGTCCGCGGCGCCTCAGTAAGAAAAAAATCACCATCAACATTTACTGGGGATTTTTCCCCCACCATTAAAACAGCTGGAGATGGCGTCGTCCGACAGTTGAAGTTGCTGCGCATTCTGCATATCGTGGTAGTCATTGTCGCACACCATCTTCTTTTGTCACCGGAGCGCCGGGAACATTCTCACCAGCTCTCGGTGGAGTGGGAGGTGTTTAGATAATACTACCTGCCGGCTAACTTCATTGCACACGGTGTTTGGGAATCAGCCAGCCACTGTTCCAGAGAGAGAGACACGAAACTTTCGATCCCTTTTCAACTCTGGAAAAAAAACTTTACTTCAGCATCAAACGTTACGGGGAATTCAAACCGGCGAGAAGGGGAAAGAGAGAGCACGGTGTCGAGTGGCCAGAAGCCGCCCCTCCGTGGCGCAGCTGGGGCTGTTTACAAAAGGGCCCGTGGTTGCCTGCCAGTTCGCGGGTGGCTCGGTGGAAAGCTCCCGCTGGGTCATAAATTTCCGGAGCCCTCGAAGAAAGAGCATTGGTTCCTAGAAACACAAGGACATGACGGAACGAATACGCATGCCGACTGTGAAAGCAACGCACACAAAATACAACATGGGGATTACCATGCATCCGCGAGGTCACACAGGTGGCCTCCACACGCGCGACGTATGCAGCTCTCTCCGGAGAAAAACTCTGTCGTATGAAAACCGCGCCGTTCACACACTTGCGACCGAGTACAACCGAGAGAGACAAGACCGGTTTCTAAGCCTCTTGCGAGGTCTTAGGACCGGGTGCGCTGCTCAGGAGCTCGTCCTAACATGTCGCAAGAGGCTTAAACACCGGTCCTGTCTCTCTCTGTCCTACTCGGGGGCAATTATGTGAACGGCTTTTTTGCCCGCGTCAGTCAACGAGCGCCCACTGAATAGGGAAGTCCTACAGCTTTATCACCTTCTGAAACGCTAATGACCTCCCCTGCTGCTCTACAAACGACCGATGTAATCAAAACAACCTCACCGTTCGATCGGAACGACAATCGACTCTGATTTCGCCGCTTCGAGTCGCCCTGGCGAAACCAGAAGCCGGGAGGGACGGAGAGGGAGAGTAGCCTTCGTCGCTCTGAATCCGTCGTCACGATTTTCGCGGACGGAGACTTCACTGAATATGCGCCGGTGGTCACAAATTTTAGATCGCGGAACCAAGTAATTGTTTTACCAAAGGCTTTTTCTTAATATAGCTTCTCGAGTGATGCTTCATCAAAACCATGCGGTAGCCATTGTCGAAGAGGGGACCAAGACTTTGACATGGGATTAACTCCACTGAGAGCAACGAACTGCCCGAGGAACAAACAGCTCGAACTATCGATTTTGAATAGAGGGCGGTATGGTCGTGGGGACGAACAAGGGTGATTTTTCATTTTACGCGCCACGTTTCAATAGTGCGTTTCTATGACAAGCCGAAATACATTCATCGCTTAGAAGCATGTCTTCGATGATATCAAAAGTTTTACTAATTTCGTTTGCTTTATTATTGCGAGCGATGTCTTCTAAGATGGGTATTGTATACTGCACGAAGATTTTCACGATACCCCCCCCCCCCCCCCCCCCCCTTAGGCTTTCCATGTAATAAAAAGGATATGCCTTACGCACGCCTAGAGAGCGAATGCGTACCGAGAACCTGAGCACAGCCTTCATTAGTCTTACCGTTGCGGAAGTTTAAGAGGCATTTTATTGCGTCGAAAGCGCCCACCTGCTTATTAAGTTTACCCAAATAATCGAGACCTTCAAACAGTTTCCATTATTTTGCCCTTCAGAGTGTCTGTCACGTCGTTTGAGTAGATGTCAGACTCCGGCACGTTGACTTTCGTGAATACACCAGACATTTGGAAGTGCACGTGCCTGGCGCCTACTACTTGCAGTTCCTTGTTGGCAAGGGCGAGGTAAGTCGCTGGCAAGATGAGAATGTTGGTGTCTTGCAGAGCTCGGTCGATCTTCATAGCAAAGTATCCACTAATGGTCACATTACAGGTCCAGGGAATATCCTGAAAAGGAAAAGAAAAACATTCGTAGTCATAAATCTTAGGTGAGACATTTGTGGCACCCTTGAAAAATCTATCTCAAAAAGCCTGTTTTTTGTGGGTTTTGTCTGCCTGAATGCGGTGTCTCAATGATGTGCAAGCACTACCGTCCGTGTAATTGACGTACGTAAAAAATCGATGCTGCGTTTTTCAATTTTTCACTCATCCCTTCAGTAGAGTCATTAAAATTTAGATAAAAATATTGGATGTCCTAGCAATACAGGTTATGATTACGACGTTACCTTTGTTTGTGTTTCAGTAACATGAAACTGGGAACATACCAACCTTCAAACGTCATTTTTCAAATGAAAATCTGATTTAGATTTTTCCCTAGATAATATTATAATCAACACTTGTTTCCTCCTGTATAAAGAACTCGCAATCTATTTTTTTTTTATAATGATAGCCAGAACTGTTACGTAGCTTTTCGTGTAGGGAACGTTAATACAAAATAATCTCAATTTAATCACAATATGAAAGAGTAATATGTTTAGGAAACAATGATGAAGAAACACTATTGATGGCGGCATAGAAATATTTGATCGGAGAGACGTAGATTCGGAGCAATAAAAAACAACCTACAATGATAAAAATAAACAGAACTTGTAATGTAAATAATGCATATGGTTTGTTACTCATAAACATCCATTTCTACCCTCACCTACTTTAGAAGGGTGGCAGGGGCAGCCTGGCTAAAAATGAAAATAAATCACTCACTGTTGTGGCGGTGTTGGCGTACCAGAGTACTTCGACGGTCTTGTTAGGAAAAACGTTGACTCCCGTGGCGATTTCAAAGGTCTTGAGTTTCGTCTGAGTGTCAGTCGAGGCGGTTTCTTTCTCGTACTTAGTGCCGACTGTGGCACTGAGTCCAAATTTATCTTTAAATCCGACACCTCCCGACACCTCAAGGCCAACGCTGAATCCTTGTTTCACTGTGGTAGATGTTTTTTCTTTGCGAATGGTAGTGTGCGTGACGGTGTACGTTTGGTTTTTTTTCGCTTTGTTTTCATAGAGATTGGCGTACAGAAGAGTGCGGATAGTGTTTCTTGGTATTGGCTTCCCCAGTTTTATATGGTCCATGTCCACTTTTAGATAAAATCTGCGAAATAAAAGACACCATCGAATCGATCCAAGTATACATTTTAAAACAAACGAAGCAATTAATAAACCGTTGATCAGTGACTGAGCAAATTTTGTACCATTGCTGGCAATACAGGCGTGGGCAAGACAAAAGCTATCGGCGAGCCTTAATTTATTTTTTAGAGCGCAGCTCTTAGGCGCCAGTTTCCGGCTTGAGCGGCGTCCCTGTCGGCGTCGACATCGGCGTAACCGCGCTGTGCATTATGGGAAGTTTCCCATAATCACGTCACGTGTGACGTCACGAGGGTCCCTCGTGATGTCACCGCGCGGTCATGGGTAAATTTCCCCACTAAATTTAGCGGAAAAATATCTTCGCTAAATTCAGCGGGAAAATGTCCCCGCTAAATTTAGCGGAAAAAATCCCCGCTAAATTCAGCGGAAACATTTTCTCGCTAAATTCAACTGAAAAATTTCCCTTCTAAATTTAGCGGAAGTATATCCCTGCTAGATTTCGCGGAAAAATTTCCCCGCTAAATTTAGCCAAAATTTTCCCCGATAGCGAAAGAAATTACCCGCTAAGTTTAGCGAAGAAGTGTACCTAAATTCAGCGGGAAAAAAAATTCACCCCTAAGCTTATCGGAAAAATGTTTCCGCTAAGTTGAGCAAAATATTTTTCCGCCAAATTTAGCGAAAATTTCTCGCCAAATGGGATAGGAGCAGGAGAGGACAGTACGGATAAGGAAAAGGGGCATACCCTCTTTTCCGTTCCTTCCCCTCATCCTCCTCAGGAGCTGCACTCTAATTAGGCGTTACAGGAGATTGTAAAGGTCTGTCATTTTTTATCGCAAAATGTTCAATATCTTTCTCTGTGTATAGCGGTACCATGGCGACCAATCTGAGTGTGAACGGCGCTTCGTGTGACCCAAGGTAGTACCGGTGCCCTCTGTCGAATGCTCCGTATAGATAGACACTTTGCGGATGAATCGTGGCCTCCAACGAAAGTTGCGCCACTCTGCACTTTCGGATCGTCTGCTAGAGTCACCGGCAGCTTTAGAGACGCGGGGTGTGGCGAACGCCGTGACGGTGCATGTTTGGTGCTGGTTGATTGGCTGATGGGATGCTGCATCGGCTGCGGTTGAACCTGATCTCAAAGAGAGTAAAGTCCCTAGATACTTCTTTTACAAGTAACGACAACCAATACAAATGACAAAGCACATTTCGCTGGTACAAAATGGGGCCATTCAGGTTATACCTCTGCTGTGCGCCGGCATTCGCTTCCTAAAACCTGCACCGTCACGCAGTCCGCGCTTCAAAGAATGTCGCTCTTTGTAGGAAGCTCTTATATAGAAACTTTAGAGTACACAAAGTCCCTAGATAAGAGCTCCCTACAAGTAGCGACATTCTTTGAAGCGCCGACTGCGTGACGGTGCAGGTTTTAGGAAGTGAATGGCAGCGCACAGCAGACGTTTGAACTGAATGACATCATTTTGTTCCAGAGGAAATTGCTTTGTCATTTGCGTTGGTTGTCGTTACTTGTAAAAGTAATATCAAGGGACTTTAAGCGCATAGTTTCGCGGGCGATGCGGCGCGGCATTTACTCACAGTGATCCTGACAGTACGTGTTCTGAGCTGAACATCTCAGTTTTTAAAGGGGCTATGCAACGATATTCACATCGAATGTTTTTCACTTTGCACGAGCTTACTGGCACTGGTGGGACTCAAGGATACTTGCACGCAACGCCACTGGCCAAGAGACTTTGTTGCGGTGTAATTTCAAGGAGAAAAGCGAACGTTTTCATTCGATCTCTCCTGCGGAAAACTGGATGACGTAGCTGGGCGGTCGCAGTACCTCCCAGTGACGATATTTCATTAAGGCCCATAGGTTGGACCCGAGCATTGCGTGGACACTCGATTTGGCCTCGTGTTAATCATTAACTCGAGAAGCATTCGGGTGTAGTAGCCCGTGTCTCATCGCTCGAATAACCGAACCATAGCAACGTTCGCATCTCAGCACGTGTCCCGTACTTTGCCAACCCCGTGGCTATGAGCAACATTGGCGGCATATTGCCGCGACCAGGGCTGAGAAAGCAACGCTCGGTAACGGACCTCCAGAAAGTTCTCGTTTATTCATGTACCGCACGTAACTTCTATCATTTATTCCTGCTTTTGTTTTCTAGAAAGTGCGTGTTCATTCTCGCCCGATCACGCGACGCTCGAGCCGCTTTCGCCGAATCTTCGAGATAGCGACGCACTCTAGATAAGAGGCCGCCCGCGACCTTGTCGAGTCAGTTTCGCTTCAGCGTTCGACCTTGCTGCTTCGCCGCCTTCGACGCCCGCGACGCTCTGTTGTTATTTTTCTATTTCCTTTTATTTTTGGCACAAGTTCGCCACATTAAACGTCTATTTCTTTCTGTGTATTTATTGTTTCTTTTGGTCACCACCCGTGACATTTTGGTGGAGGTGCGGGGTACCGCATGCCCCTGCCGCGTACCCCTCCGAGGGCCCGCAGTCCAAGTCCGACGCCTAGCCCACGAAGAACCAACGAAAGCACTTCCGAGATCCGGTTCAGTCGTCGCACCCAAGGCCTACACCCGGAATTCGGACCTCTGCCGCCCAAGACTAAGCAGCCAACGAGACCAACGATGGACAGCCAGTCGTCCCAGAACCCGTCCACCGCCAGCGTCGTCGTCCTGCCCGTCGCACCCCGGACTCCGACGCCTTTCCACGGGGAGATCCACGAAGACATCGAAGACTGGCTGCGACACTACGAACGTGTAGCCCGCCACAACGGATGGACGACTGAGCAGTGCCTCCACAACCTTTACTTCTCGCTTGAAGGCACTGCGAGGCACTGGTTTGAAAACCACGAAGCCTCCTTCCCCACATGGGAGTCCTGCGTCGCCGAACTCAAACGAACATTCATTAACCACCATCGTCGCCAGCGAGCAGAGGACCTGCTTCAAACAAGGGTGCAGGGCCCCAATGAAAGCCTGACCAGCTTTGTAGAGGATGTTCTGCGTCTAAGTGCCCGAGCAGACCCGGAGGCCGCTGAGGAAAAGAAACTTCGAATCCTCATGCGAGGCGTCAAGGCAGAAATTTTTGGAGGCCTGGTTCGCAATCCCCCGACGACCGTCGATGCATTTGTGAGTGAAGCCACGAACATCGAGCGCGCACTGACGGCCCGAGCAAGCCACTACCACCGACTCGCCGGCGCGCCTACTTCTCCAACCGTCGCAGCTACACTTCCGGACCTGAGCACCACCGGTGTCGACAGCCTTCGGGATATCGTCCGGGATATCGTCCGGGAAGAGCTCCGGAAGATTCTACCTGCTGCAGATCGCCCAGCCTCACTCTCACTCGCCGACGTCGTCCGAGAGGAAGTTCACCGAGCTTTCCATCCCGAGGTTGCCGTCACCGCAACAGCACAGCAGGAGCCAGCCGTAAGCTACGCCGAAATGCTCCGCCGAGCACCATCTGCACCGCGTCCGCACATGGCGCCTCCCCGACGTGTGCTTCCAGAGCCGCAGCATTCCCGACGCCAGGAAGATCGGGCACACGTTCGTCCAGAACAAGTTGCGCCAAGGAAGACCGACGTGTGGAGGACGGCTGATCGACGCCCGTTGTGCTACCACTGCGGGGAAGCCGACCATATCTACCGACGATGCCCCTACCGCCAGCTCGGCCTACGAGGGTTCGCGCCCAACGACCCTCGACCACGTCTTGGAGAGCGACCTCGGGACATCGAGGACTACCTCCGCCGCTCTTCAACTCCTGAGTCGTCTCCCCGCCGAGTATTCCGTTCGCCATCTCCCCGACGCTCGCCATCCCCCTTCCGCCGGTCTCGCCGAGACAGCCTGTCACCCATTGCGTCCCGTCGGGAAAACTAGGCGCGGCAATGCCGGGAGGTGGTGTTGCCGAAGACGAACGATGCCAAGATCCTCCAAGATCGTCGGAGCTCTCCCACTCTAACGCCGCAACGCCCCGAAACGACGTTTCTGTAACAGTGTCGAATAACCTCAACGTTATCATCGACGGCCACGACGCGACAGCACTCGTCGACACCGGAGCGGATTACTCCGTTTTGAGTGGGAGACTCTCTCGTCGCCTTCGGAAAGTTACGACGTCGTGGGATGGACCACAGATACGAACCGCCGGCGGACACCTCATCACGCCTGTCGGCAGGTGCACTGCTCGCGTTGAGATCCACGGTGAAACCTGCCCTGTCAAGTTCGTCGTTCTGCAAGACTGTTCGAGAGACGTCATTCTCGGAATGGACTTTTTGTGTGAATACGGCGCCATCATCGACCTTGGGGAGAACAAGCTGACGCTTCGGAAACCTGTTCCCTCGGCGGAAGATCCCAAAGCGACGTTAGCTGCAGTGCGAGTCCTTACCAGCCACGTAAACCTGCCGCCGCTGTCCAGTGTCTTTGTCCCCGTCGGGACCGACGAAGCCACCTGCGGGATAGCACTGTTGGAAGGAAGCGTCCAACTTCTCCTTGGACGAGGGATTGGTATTGCAAGAGGCGTAACCGAGCTCCAGGACGGGCGTACCGTAGCCCTTGTCACCAACTTCCGGCAAGAGTCGCAGCACCTTACAAAGGGTACAGCTGTGGGCTACGTCGAGGAAATTCAGGACTCGGCCGCCATCGCCGTGATCTCAGAAGACGCCTCTCCGACGCACCACAAGGGAACCACGCCGTCAAAGCTCGACATCGACCCATCCCTCCCAGGCCCACAACGACGACAGCTGAATGACGTTCTCGCTGAGTTCAGTGAGTGCTTCGCCACATCGTCAAGGCTACGCCAAACAGCGGTTGCGAAGCATCGAATTGTTACTGACGATGACGTGCCCCCTATTCATCAGTCGCCGTACCGAGTTTCGGTGAAGGAGAGGGAAACCATCCAGAAACAAGTTCAAGAAATGCTTGACGACGATATTATTCAGCCTTCAAGCAGTCCGTGGGCCTCTCCAGTCGTGCTGGTGAAGAAGAAAGACGGAACCCTTAGGTTCTGCGTGGACTACAGGCGGCTGAACGCTGTTACAAAGAAAGATGTCTATCCGCTTCCCCGCATAGATGACACCCTCGACCATTTACGCCACACCCGGTACTTTTCGTCGATGGACTTGAAGAGTGGCTACTGGCAGATTGAGGTCGATGAACGGGACCGCGAGAAGACTGCCTTTGTCACGCCCGATGGACTTTACGAGTTCAAGGTGATGCCCTTCGGACTCTGTACGGCGCCGGCGACTTTCCAGCGGGTCATGGATACTGTACTAACGGGACTGAAGTGGCAGAGCTGCCTCGTTTACCTGGATGACGTCGTCGTTTTTTCGCACGACTTCGACGAGCACTTGAAACGGCTTAGGGCCGTGCTCCAAGCCATCAAGACCGCAGGGCTCACACTCAAGCCAACGAAGTGCCGCTTCGCCTACGCCGAACTTAAGTTCCTTGGTCATGTCGTTAGTAGCGAAGGAGTACGCCCTGACCCCGCGAAGACATCCGCCGTAGCCGAATTCCCTCGACCATCGGACAAGAAGGCCATCCGCAGATTCCTGGGGCTGTGCGCGTACTACAGGCGCTTCGTTCAAGATTTCGCAAAAATTTCGGCGCCCCTCACACATCTTACGAAAGACGCCGTGAAGTTTCACTGGGCAGAAGAACAAGAACGGGCGTTCGACGAACTGAAACAAAGACTTCAGACACCTCCGATCCTCGGACATTTCGACCAGCACGCCGAAACCGAAATTCACACGGACGCAAGTAACTCCGGCCTTGGTGCGGTATTGGTACAGCTACAGGAAGGCACGGAGCGAGTTATTGCCTACGCAAGTCGGACACTGTCAAAAGCGGAGAAAAATTACTCCACGACGGAAAAAGAATGTCTCGCGGTTGTATGGGCGATCACAAAGTTTCGTCCGTACATATACGGGAACCCGTTCCGGGTGGTCACAGACCACCACTCGCTCTGTTGGCTTGCAAACCTCAAAGACCCTTCAGGACGCCTGGCTCGATGGAGTCTTCGACTGCAAGAATTTGACATGACCGTAGTCTACAAGTCAGGACGGAAACATAGCGACGCCGACTGCTTGTCCAGAGCCCCCGTCGAAACGCCAGACTGTACCGACGTGGATGATGACGAGTGTTTCCTAGGTGCCGTGGACACCAACGACATGGCAAAACTTCAACGAGACGATCCGGAGCTCCGCGCCCTGATTGAGCATTTAGAAGGACGAGGAAGTACCGTTTCTCGTGTCTTTTCACGAGTCCTGCCGACCTTCGCTATTCGAAGAGGTGTACTTTATAAGAAAAATTTTGGAACCAGTAATTCGTCGTGGCTTCTGGTAGTCCCCACCAGCCTTCGAGAAGAGATTCTTCAAGCCTGCCACGACGACCCAACTTCAGGACACCTCGGTTACAGCCGAACACTAGCCCGAATACGTGAAAAATACTACTGGCCCAAGCTGCCGAAAACCGTCCATCTCTACACGCGATCGTGCCATGAGTGCCAGCGACGCAAGAAACCGCCGTCAAAGCCAGCAGGTCGCCTTCAGCCGATTCCCCCTCCAACCAAACCGTTCCAGCAAATTGGAATGGATTTGCTGGGCCCTTTTCCACCGTCGACCCTGGGAAACCGCTGGATAATCGTCGCCACAGATTATCTTACGCGTTACGCCGAGGCGAAAGCCCTTCCTTCGGGGACTGCTGTCGAAGTCGCGAAGTTCTTCATCGAGTCCATCGTCCTCCGGCATGGCGCCCCCGAAGTCCTGATCACAGACCGAGGGTCATCGTTCATGGCGCAGTTAACCCAGGAGATCCTTCGTCTAAGCCAGACGGACCACCGTCGGACAACTGCATACCATCCGCAGACAAACGGGTTGACGGAGCGGCTCAACAAGACCATCGCCGACATGATCTCCATGTACGTCGACGTGGAGCACAAGACATGGGACGAGGTATTGCCATACGTCACATTTGCCTACAATACGGCCGTACAAGAGACCACAAGAGTGACGCCCTTCCAGCTGGTGTATGGCCGGAAGGTGACGACTATGCTAGACTCAATGTTGCCGCACGATCCAGTCGACGACGGAAGCGATGACGCCCAGGTGGTTGCTCAACGGGCAGAAGAGGTCCGCCAACTGGCAAGACTACGAATTCAAGACCAGCAACATGTCGACGCCGGCCGATACAATCTTCGCCGGCGTGACGCCCACTCTCAACCCGGAGACCGGGTATGGGTGTGGACACCAATACGGCGCCGCGGTCTCAGCGAGAAGCTTCTCAAGCGCTACTTTGGACCCTACAAGGTGCTTCGCCGTCTCGGGGACTTAAACTACGAAGTCCTTCCCGACGGAACCCGCCCATCTGCAAGACGTCAGCCGCGACCCGAGGTAGTGCACGTCGTCCGGCTGAAGCCGTATTACGAACGATAGGACTCTCCACTCTCGTCGACGAGTGAACTGTGGACTGTGAACTCCGGCTAGCAATTCTGCTGTCCTTTTGTTTTTTTTTTGTTTTCCGTTTTTGTGCTGCATCGGGACGATGCACTTTTAAAGGGGGGGATAATGCCGCGACCAGGGCTGAGAAAGCAACGCTCGGTAACGGACCTCCAGAAAGTTCTCGTTTATTCATGTACCGCACGTAACTTCTATCATTTATTCCTGCTTTTGTTTTCTAGAAAGTGCGTGTTCATTCTCGCCCGATCACGCGACGCTCGAGCCGCTTTCGCCGAATCTTCGAGATAGCGACGCACTCTAGATAAGAGGCCGCCCGCGACCTTGTCGAGTCAGTTTCGCTTCAGCGTTCGACCTTGCTGCTTCGCCGCCTTCGACGCCCGCGACGCTCTGTTGTTATTTTTCTATTTCCTTTTATTTTTGGCACAAGTTCGCCACATTAAACGTCTATTTCTTTCAGTGTATTTATTGTTTCTTTTGGTCACCACCCGTGACAATATTATCGGCTCCGAATTACGTGGCCGCTTGTTCTGGCTGCGAGTTGAGGGGGTGAACGGTGCTCGTTTTTAGAGCAGAGCTGTTAAGGGCTAGTTTCCCCAGGATCATGTCCGCCGGATTAGAAAGGAAGACAGCGAACTCTGGACAGCTACCGCCACCTAGGAGCGACGGCGGCAACCAGACAAGTGGTTGCCGTCGTCGCTCATAGATGGCGGCAACCTTTCTTCGGGAGAAGAGCGGCAGTGGAACGAGCGGCGACTTGCGCAGCAGCGCGAATAGTTCCGCAACTGCCGCGAAGCCGCTATCACCTAAAGTTCCACTGCGTCGAGCGCTTCAGATTCCCTTACGAAAGAAGAGCAGATCGCTCGCCTGGAAATCCACACCACCGAGAACAGAAGCTATAGCTGCGATGCTCTTCCTTCTTCGCCGGAGTGAAAAGGCTGAAAGTTTTTTCTTTAATTTTTTTTCTGCGACTTCGATTGCGTCTGGTGAAAACTGAACGGGTGTTTTACAGGTCATTAACGTCGCCCTACCGAAAAACCCATCATACTTTTTCGCTCTCTGGATTATTGAACTGAAAAACTATCTGGACTCTATCTGGATTTCATGTTTTCCAAAAAATTATTCCTTCGTCTGCAATTTCTTTGGGGTTTCCAGAAACAATACCAGTAGTGAAACGTTATACTGGGTTTTTCGGTGGGCAGGAATCCGTTCTAAGCGGTATTTGCGCAAGTACAAAAAATCGTTGCATCGCCCCTTTAAGTTCTGCCTTCTGCATTTCTTGGTCCCCCCCCCCCCCCCCCCCCCCCCCTTTCCGACCGATTCTTTTCAGCATAAATCAAGATGCGGCCGACGCTGCGACGTAACGGGACAAATCGGGTAGCATCAAAAGTACAAGTTACTAGGCCTATTTTTAGTTAGGATTGGTTCGGCGATGTTAGAACACGTACTGATACATGACGAACACCGTGATTATGCGCTTTTGTCGCTGTCTGATTGGTCCATCAGCTCGTATTGTCGGCTGTGTCTGGACCTAAAGAAAAACCAAGTAAAGGAGGAGACACCGCCTGCTGAAGCACTTCATTGATAACACCGCGATGAAAGGCTTCCAAAGAAACATACGCGTAACATAAAAATGTCGTAATATCCGTTCATTTGTTTAAAAGTTTAGTATAAGGTTTAGATACTTTTTAGTGGCGACCCATTGTTTCAATTCTTCACGCTCCGACGTCGTGTCAGTCCAGATCACGATGACTTGGTAGACTTCTTCAAAAACTTTAACGAACTTTTTCACTGCAGTGTCGAGATTGAAGACCTTCGGGGTGTCTTCTGTAGAGGAGAGAAGAAACTTCAATTAAATTGAATTCGTATATTTATTGCGATCTGACATATGGGTGACGGAGACGGAGAAAAAGCTGCAGTAGTGCAGACTGACAAAGCCCCTAACCCCCTACTAACCGATCGGCCGACAGAAAAAAAAAAAAAAAAACTAAATGAAAGGACGAAAGAAATAATCGCTGCAATGCAAGAGAAAACATTAAATGTTTTAGGCGAATATTTTGCGTATTGTTTTCGTATTAAGCGCGCCAAGGCAAGCATTTTGGTCTTCTAAAAATTTCGTTCTGTTAGTAGCGTATATTGTACCATTTGAAGCCCGTAGTTTGTTCTAGGACGGGGCACTCTCAAGGATCCAGCACTACGTATTCCATATTCAATATTTTTTACACTTAGTTTAGAAATTCGTAATAAAGAGGAGGCCGAGGTGTTTCGATTTACATACCTCAAGAATGTATCTTAATATACGGTGCCATCATCGAATTTAGAGAAAGAGTGAGAAAGAGAGAGAGAGATCATTTTGCGAGTTTGGTAAAAGTTCATGTTAAAAAATGAAAGACGTTTACAAATCTCTAATGCGACACTGGAGAGTAGCTTTTGAGGATGAGGGGAAGCTACGGAGGGGAGCCTATGTCCCTCCTCCTCCTCCGTACCCTCCCCTCCTCCTCTTCTCTTCCTGCTCCTCCTCTTTCTTTCTCGTCCTCCCCCTCCGCCTCCTTCTTCCCTCCTCCGCTCCCCCTCTCGCTGAATTTGTTCATGGATGACGTGACATGAAGTCATGTGAAGTCATTCTCCCTCAAAATGTAGCGGGGAAAATGACGTCACATCACTTCGTGTCGCGTCACCCATGACAAATTAAGTTTCTCCGCTAGATTTAGCCGGAAAATTGACGTCACTCGACCTGAGCAGCAACTCAGTTTTCCGCTAAATTTAGCGGGGTGTTTACGCCGACGCCGACGGCGACGGCTAAGCCACGAAACGCGGAAACGGGCGTCTTAAAGGTGATGCTGCTGCTGATCCTTTGGCTGTTCCCTTCGTAACAGGCGAGCTCAAATAATCGTGCCCTTATAAAAAATAAATTAAACAATCCACCACTTTTTGAAGTTAGTTATCTTGTGCCAACAGTGCTCAAGTCCTGCCTTCGTCCTCGGTGGACACTGCATACACGAGTCAGTGTCCGACCAAGCTGTTGCTGATGCGGCTGAACAGGCCATGTTGGAATTCCTCCCACACATTCCGCCTGCTCCACTTCTGGACGCATTGCCCGTGTCTGACGTTAAAGGGAACCACAGTGCCTGTGCTAGCGTCCTCCCGGCATGGGGTTGGCGATGTTCCATCGGAGGTGGCGTGAGGGCCTCGCAGAATACTCACAGAAATCGCAGAGTACCCGCAGAAAAAAATTGCTCTGAGAACAGGCCTGTGCTGGAGCACAATGCTTCTTGTATATTATATCAGCCCATAATCACCCTTCCTACTTTTAGAGCGTAGCTCTTAGGCGGCCGTTTCCGGCTTGAGCGGTGCATTATGGGTAAATTTCCCCGCTAAATCTTGCGGAAAAATTTCCCCGCTAAGTCTAGCGGGAAAATTTCCCCGCTGAATCTAGCGGAAAAATTTCACCGCTAGATCTAGCGGAAAAATTTACCCGCTAAATCTAGCGGAACAATAACACCACTAAATCTAGCGGAAAAATTTCCCCGCTACATTTAGCGGAAAAATTTTCGCGCTAGATTTAGCGGCACAATTACACAACTAAATCTAGCGGAAAAGTTTCTCCGCTAAATCTAGCAAAAAAATTACGCCCCTAAACCTAGCGGAAAAAGTTCCCCGCTAGATTTAGCGGAACAATTACAACACTAAATCTAGCGAAAAAATTTCGCTAAATTTAGCGGAACAATTACACCACTAAATCTAGCGGAAAAGATTCCCGCTAAATGTAGCGGAAAAGTTTCCCCGCTAAACCTAGCGGAAAAATTTCCCCGCTAGATTTAGCGGAAAAATGTTCCCACTAAATCTAGTGGAAAAATTTCTCCACTAAATCTAGCGAAAAAATTTCTCTGGGGGTCCGTTACCTGGGGGGGGTCACGTGACCTCCAGGTCACGTGGCCCACCCCAAGGTCACATGTCCCCCCACCGAGGTCACGTGATCCCCCCCGAGGTCACATAACCCCTCAGTAACCTTCCCTACTCCTCCTCAAGAGCTGCGCTCCAATTCGGCATTACAGGGAGATGTAAACGGCTTCCACTTTTAGAGCGCAGCTCTTAGGCGCCCGTTTCCGGCTTAAGCGGCGTCGCCGCCGGCGTAACGGCGCGGTGCATTAGGGAGTTTTCGTAGACCGCGCTGCCCCCTCCGCTAAGCGTTCCGCAACGAAGAAGTTGCTACTGCGCCTGCGCGCCGACAGCCTTGCCTGTGGAGTTCCCGCTATCGTAGCGGGTTGCGGAGGGCCTTGTGGGACGGCGACAACGATCTACGAAAACTCCCTATTATGGGTAAATTTCCCCGCTAAATCTAGCGGAAAATATTCCCCGCTAAATCTAGCGAAAATATTTCCCCGCTAAATTTAGCGGAAAAATTTTCCGATTAAATCTAGCGGAAAAGTTTCCCCGCTAAATCTAGCGGAAAAAATGAAAGCCGTTTACAACTCCCTGTAATGCCGAATTAGAGCGCGGCTGTTGAGAAGGGTACTGGGTCAAGTGACCTGGGGGGGAGGGGGCCCCTTACCTTGGTGGGGGGGTCACGTGACGTCGAAGAAGGGGCACGTGACCTGGGGGTCACGCGACGATGACGATGATGTCGTCTGTGACGTCACTGATGACGCCATCAGCGATGATGACGATGCGGATGCCGGCGACGTCATCAGTGACGCCACTGATGACGTCATCAGTGATTATGACGATGACGATGCGGATGCCGTTGACGTCATCAGTGACGTCACTGATGACGTCATCAGTGACGATGACGTCATCGGGGGTCACGTGACCTCGGGGGGTTCACGTGGCCTCGGCAGGCGGGGGGGTCACGTGACATTGGGGGTCACGTGTAGTGGTGCAACACTATCGATAATACTATGGATAATATCGTCGATAGTCGCCAGAAATCTGACTATCGATAGTAAGAAAACTATCGATAGTACTATCGATAGTCGACTATCGAAAAACTATCGATAGTCGACTATCGGTAGTACTATCGAGAGTTTTTCGATAGTCGACTATCGAAAAACTATCGATACTACTACCGATAGTCGATTATCGTAAACCTATCGGTAGTACTGTCGACGGTTTACTATCGAAAAACTATCGATAGTACTATCGATAGTCGACTATCGTAAACCTATTGATAGTACTGTCGGCGGTTTACTATCAATAGTTTTGCGACACTAGTAGTTTGCGTCGCTCCCTCTTCTCTGTTTCTCGCTTTATTTTTTTCAAATGAGATACCCCACTAGCCCAAGCACCTACCATCCCAACTTTGATTCAGCTTTCAGTGATGCCGAATAGACGAGAGTTTCGGCAAAGAGACGAGGAAGGAAAGCGAGCTTCGGTGCGGCAACTCTGTTCGCTCTAGTAATGCAAAACTATCGACAGCACTATCGATAGTATCGAAAGTCGCCAGAAATCGGACTACCGATAATAATAAAACTATCGATAATGTCGCAGAACTATCGATAGTCGGCTATCGAAAAACTAACGATAGTCGACTATCGAAAAACTATTGATAGTACTATCGATAGTCGACTATCGAAAAACTATCGATAGTACTATTGATAGTCGATAGATAGTACTATCGATAGTTCTGCGACACTATCGATAGTTTTCGAAAAACTATCGAGAGTATCGATAGTTTTTGCACCACTAGTCACGTGACCTCGGGGACGGGCGTCACGTGACCTCAGGGGAGTCATGTGACCTCGGGGGCGTCGCAGGGTTGCATGCAACCTGGTCTAAATGCAACCTGGGCTGCATGCAACGCGTTGTTACGCCGACGCCGGCGGGTTGCATGCAACGCGGCTTGCATGCAACTTGTGTGGCGTGCAACACGCTGTTACGCCGACGGCGCCGCCCCTTGAGCCGGAGACGGGCGCCTAAGAGCTGCGCTCTAAAATTTCTCTGGGGGGTCACGTGACCCCCCGCTGAGGTCACGTGACCACATCACCAGGTCGTGACCACAACCCCAGGTCACGTAACCCCCCCCCCCCCCCCCCCCCCCCGAGAACACGTGATCCTCAGTACCCTTCCCTCCTCCTCAAGAGCTGCGCTCTCATTCGGCGTTACAGGGAGTTCTAAACGGCTTTCATTTTTTATACCCTTTTTTATTTTGTGTGCAGGCCTCTGGTATGGATCTTCGGTTTCTCTGCAACCACCGGGATCTTTCTGAATTTCATATAAGTATTATCATTATCATTATCACGAGGTGTTTCACTGTTTCGACTACTTCCCCGCAAGCACGGCACTGTGTAGATTCAATCTTGGGATCACAGTGCTTTCGATAGTCCAGCGTTTGCAGATACCTCGCTGGAGCCTCGAACAGCAGACTACTCAAGCTGTTCTCATAGACTAAGCCACGACGTGTTGGTCGAGATGTTTGATTTGTCCTCCCTGTATAGCGTCATAGTCGACTTCACCTAGGCCGCGTCTACCTGCAGGAAGGCTTCTTTTTCGCGCACTCTCCTCCGCACTTCTGCCTCCCACTTCCTTCCCGTGAGTGCCTCCACGTGCCCCGCAAAGAAACCGAAGTTTTTCTCAAGTTGATACAACCGCCTCTGCCATCGTGTCTGCGCTCCCGCTATGTGTGTGCAGATGAAAAACCTTTTGGCCCATCTGCAGCGATTCATGCGCCGTGGTTGTGCCTCGTAGCCTATGTTACTGGCCGCCTCTCTCGCCTCAAAACTCGACTATCCCAGTTTCCCCTGGTCGGCCTCGTTGGTCACATTGTCATGGCAGCCCGGTGGCTCTCGCCCTACCTCTCGTTGTCTAAAATCCAGGATCTATCGAACTCC